TATTGGGTTCGCTCGCAGTCAGGTAAGTTAACGATCAGGTTGCTTTCCCGAAATTATCTCCCACAAATTCTGCCGATAGTTGATCGGGAATCGGGTTATTTTTCAGGACGTCTTCCGCCGTTCCCAGGCGAAGATTAACTGCGGCTCCGTGTCCCCTTTTTTACGGGGAAAGACAAAAATTAGATTCCAACAAATAATTTCAGCCGACGGAACACTTTTCTACATTCCTGTTCACTCTGTAACTTCAAAATATATACGATCTTTTAAAGAATTTAAACCATCAGTTCTAAATAAATTTGCCAAGAGATACAAATAGGCTTCTGTCTNACGAATCTCCATAAAATAACGTGTAAAATTACAATTTTTTAAAATTTCAATAACCGTTTAACGGTTTAGTGAATCGATTTGTATTTTTTACAGGAGTTTTAGAATTGAATGAGGAACGTTCTTCCAAATTTTTATTTGTCTCGTAGCATTTTGACGTACCTCCCAAACAACCTTAAGATGAAAGTATCCAACAAAATTCTCTCTGAACTAAAATATTAAGCACCTAGTCACTTAAAATTCACCAAACAGCCGAATCTGATGTACAAAGTTTTTATTATGAAACAGTGCCACGTTTTGTATTGCCGTATTTAGAATAAATTATGCACATCTTACTGTTATGATCGAATTAAATATTCAAGCGTGTAGATATTACTGTGGAGACGTTGATAAAATTTGAAAGCTGAAGTTGAGAAATTCCAACTTCAATTACTTTTAGTGGTTAACGAGCTGGTTCAGAGATAATATAACCACTACAACGTTGGAGGATGTAATAACCCGGTGAAACGCAGCAGAAAATTAGTTAAAGCCATCCTACAGGCTAAGACGACTCCTAATTTTCGAAGAAAAGTACGATGTCGCACTCTAAACGAGCGAGACTAGCCACTCTTTAATTAAAACTGAACAAAAAGGAACTAAAATTTTTGTGTCTGAGATTTATTTGAGTGAAATGTGTGAGATATTCTGCAAGTGGGTGAAAACCCTTCTACTTCCTTATGATAAGTCCCACAATTTTTTAAGGTGAAAATTTTGTAAACAACCAGCTTATACATACATGTAAAAGGTCCGTTTTTCTATTACAGTCAAAATCTGTTATAACGACACCGAAGGGACTACTCATTTTTGGTCGTAAAAACCGATAGTCGTAATAGCCGGTGACGTTATTAAGTACTTAATACCTATTATTGAATGTGTGATTATTTTTTTAATATTAATTGCAGTTAATATAAACTTCAGTATTATACAATCAATAAAATAAACCAATCATCTATAGATAGAAGAAATGCTGATGAAATACTACATTTTGGTTTAATCATCTATAAAATAGATGAACAGGCATGGCAAACTATCAACGCAATATAGAAATTAAATATTTCTTGGCCACCACTTAGACTAGTATGTATGATATCCTTAATGGAAAAAGAAGCTTGTCAAACATTAATGAGCCCCTAACTAGTAGCAAATTCCTACAGATGGCATTACCCGCCGCCGGTAGTTATTCTGTAAACGCTTTTTAAACGTATCATCTTGATTTCAAAATGGAAACAGAACAGGGTGACTGATAACTATTCAATAAAGATGACATTATTTTTATGCCTTTGTGGTTTTTGTTACGGTCCGCTTTTCTAGCTTAGATAATAGAAAATACCACAAATGGCGCGGTAAACGTTTCAGCAAGTAGATATCCATATATTGAAATGGACCTTGTTGGAGCATACGTAATCCTAAAATGTAGCATCGTACTACAGATGGCGTTTACCGCGCCATTTGTGGTATTTTCTAAAACGCGCTTTAGGCAGCAGGTAAAAGTTGGTCTGTGTTCTGTCGGAGCTTCCTGCGACGCGCTGATGAGATCCAAAAAGATCGAAATCGCGATCCGCGTTTGGCAGTTTCGACAGAATACAGACCACTTCGAATTATTTTATTAGCTTAGATAATATTTCTGAGACGAAAAACATATTCTATGCATATTTGTTTGTGATGATATTATAAAAAATTATACACACATATTTAAGTATATATGATAAAATTCGTATTCTCGTTGTCGTCAGTGAATCCAGTCCAAGATGCAATGAAAAATTATGCGGTTGAGTCTAGGCACTGCTTTGATAACGAATATAATGCAATGCTTGATTACAATGTAGTCTGCAAAATGCTCGAAAATATTCTTTTCTTTTTCTCGTCGAGCAACAAAGCTTGATCCAATTTCGCCAGTCAGCAGCAAGATAGGAACGAACGAGGCGACTATATACTCTGAACAGCACAAGAATGAACACACAATACATTGTCTGCATATTACTGATAAGAGGATTTTTCATATCCGTCAAACTTCCTAAAATGACCATTCGAACACCGAAACAAGGCAGATCTCGAAAGTTACAGAGTTCGGGGACGGGATGAGGTAGCGAGAGAGAAGAAGACGAAATCCGCATTGTTATCAATTTTTCGCGTTGTTCTTTAAATCCATTCGCCGTTGCCATATACTTTATTGAGCCATAAAGAATTTTTGCTCCACATGTTGCCAACCTTTTATGTTAGTTCGTATAGGCAGAGTGTGTATCAGAGGAAAATCTTTATGGATGCCGTATTTATTTAATCTCAAGTGTTACATCGTTCAGTTGTTCATCCCTCTTGGAAAGCAAACAGGTATTTAAGACCAATATTTTCGCCCTTTAAAATTCATTGCTGAATGAACAGCTTCCCCGATGAATAATTAATCATGACTGCCCAAAGGGTACTGACCTATAGTTGAAAAGTTAAAAATTGGCATAGTCTGCAATAAAACTGTCGCATTTTAACTTATTAACTAGACGAGCGGTTACTGACAGAACGACAGACGTTGCGGGGAATATCGCAAACATAGAAAAGAGATGCCAGGTAGGAATTGCAGCGGCCACTAATAATAAAAAAGGGAGAAACGAAAGAGAAGCAGTCAAGTAGAATTTGAGCACGTAACGAATAATATGGAAAATTTTTAACTGACTTTTGGCAGTGAATATACCTTGATTTCAATTTCGAAACAAAAAAATATTTAGTTTCAATCTCTATTAATAATAAAAGTAGGCGTTCTGTTAGGGTCGGCTTTATATAATACACTATATGTTTAAATAAACGTCTTTCCTGAATTCCTGAGAATGTTGAAATTTCTTTATTAGTGCCCGCTGCAATTCCTACCTGGCATCTTTTTTCTAAGTTTACGATATTCCCTACAACGTCTGTCGTGAAAAAAAAAGTAGGCGTTCTGTTAGGAAAGAAGAAAATAAATGAGTCAGTTTTATTGCGGACTACGCCAATTGTGAATGTGCCAACTATATCTATCATCTTCAACATTGTTTTCATGATTCGGTGCGCTCAATGAAGATTGTTATCGGAATGTAATAGTATAAATTATTATTAAAGCGTGGACCTATTATTAGTGTTGTGCATGGGAGATCGAAGAGCACTTTCCTAAAGTGATAAATATTCGATACAGTTATTGGAGTCTTTAAAGTTGAACCATATTTTATGAAGAAATTACGAAGATGTTTTATGCTCCATCGCTAGACGAAGATACCTGTATATATACGTATAATAAGTCAGAATGTATATGCAGTAAAGAAGGGAGGTCGGTCGACAAGGCAAAGCGGATTTTACATCGACGACGCTGCAGGCGTTTTATCATCGTACCAGTCATAAGAATACTTTTAAGGGCGTAGTTTTCTATGATACAACATATACTATCGGATATTGCCAAGCCGTTTCTTCAACGGCACACGAATATTTTAAATATAAAGCAACTGAAACTGAAATATGAAAATATCACATTGTAAGCACTCCTATGATATGAGATAAAACCCAATAACTATTTGATTTGACTGTCGGAGGTGCGTGTCAAAATGACGACACTATGAGGTTTTTCCCTAATTCGGTTATAAAACAGCGAAAAATTTAATAGAAACCACCCTTGATGCTTTCATTATAAAGTTCATTTTTTTAATCGTAAAACTATTCCTAAACTAAAGTTAATACATTAACGTGTTATCTTGACAAAAACAAATGCATTGGGGACCATTTTATAGAAAATTGTATACTCTTTTCAATGGACCTAGTCTAGTTTGTGTAAGTTTTCTGGTTCACGAGATATACCCAGATGAAAATGTCTAGTATGGTATTCTTATGGAAAACTAACAAGTCCAGTGATTTACCACTAAATACCCATATTACCAGCACTCCTTGAGTTAGAGTTCTTCTCATATGTACTTGTAACTATTAAACCGTTTTAAAATTTGAAATAGAAACAAGGAGACTGTGGTAAATTAATAAATAAATAAAATAGGACACTCACCCCAATTACCAATAACATAATTTTACTGAGCAGTATCGCCTTGATAATGCCCGAGTTTGAAGTGGGCGAAACACGTGTCCGCTCAGTAAAATTATGTTAGTGGTAATTGGGATGAGTCTCCTACTTATTTATTTAGAAAATTTGAATCACTCTAATTTACATAGTACATACATATGTATCTATTAACGCAAATTATTATAGATTTACGAAATTGACTTGGTTACTATGTCAATATTTGGTCTGCCTTTTCCAATATAAACAGATGTAAAACTGTACAAATATTGACTCAAGGAAAATCCCCGTTCGTGAAATTAATCGTTTAAAATATATAAAAGGAAGGGACCGGAATTGGGATCGTATTTGGTATTAGCATTATATTGGGTTCGCTCGCAGTCAGGTAAGTTAACGATCAGGTTGCTTTCCCGAAATTATCTCCCACAAATTCTGCCGATAGTTGATCGGGAATCGGGTTATTTTTCAGGACGTCTTCCGCCNCAGAATTAAGCCGGGACCTATGATTTTGGTCAATATAACCGATATGTTGTTCTAAACGATGTCGTAGTAAACGGTTTTGACTGTATTTGTATTATATCGCAGTAATTATTTATTAAAAAGAATAATAAAAACTCACGTCATGAATCCATGTGAGTCGTCTCCAAAGAGGATTAGCTTTGACATGACATTCGAAATAAACATCGTCCCCTTCCTTGATGTCATCGGCATTGAGCGTGCTTCCTAAGCGCAGCGAAACAATCGGAGGGTCTGGAACAAAGAGGCATATTGTCAAAGGCGACGTTGTCTCTGGAACATAGCGACATATAAATCATGGAAATCCCCGCGATTGTCCTTAGCCTCCTCTACTCTTGTCAACGTTCCGAATACGAACAACGATCAACGAGATCCTAGAGCGCCGCGTTACGTACTACAAATACATATTTAAACAAACAAGCAACTGCTTGTTAGAATTCCTTTATGTACTCCCTACTTATTATGGAATATATTTTTCAAGAGAGTTTTCCTAATTCTCACAGTGCAAACGAGGGATAAAGAACGCCCTTGAAAATCAGAACGATACGTTTAACATTATCAGTGAACTGTTCAAGTTGTCGCTATGGTCAGACTATAAAGGATTCACTAATTAATTTCTTGGTAAAGGTCTAGATGATGGCCCCCAGCCCCTTCGCGTTTGGGGATGGGGGGAATCGAAGGAGGAGGTCTCCCCGCCACTGTACCATAAAAAGTTCGTGGCGGTCTCACCCCCATAAAAAGCTATAGGGGTTCAAAGTTAATAAATATGCCAATTTTTATACATTTCTAGGCATGTAAATATTTATATAGTCATTCTTAAACAATATTCAAAGGTAAAACTAATGGAAAAATACAAAAAAATATTGAGAAAGTTATATAAAACATTCTTTAAATGTCTTTATCAATAAGGTAGGTTAGGTTATGTTATTGGGTTTCGTTCAAGTGACCACCCTCTTTCGATCCCCCACCTCCACCCGCTTGAAAATAATTATTTTACTGAATTTTATTTGAATCAGGGATGTAACGGAGGTAGTTTTATCGGAACCGAAGGCGGAGTCGGAGTTTTTAAATTTGCTTTATCGGAGTCGGAATCGGAGTCGGAATCAGAGTCGGCAGGGTCAGAAGTGGTGGCATGAGAGAGAATTTTTATTTAAGAACAAATAAAACATTATTTAGTCAATTTCTTTTCATTTCAATTTTCAATTATAAAATAAAACACAAACAATGAAAAAATAATTGACGATAGAGTGCTCAGTGCACGAAGTGGAAGTCGGGGGGATTCCCCGCGCGACATGTATGAAGTTCATACTATGAACCTGTTCATAACAGTCGACAAAGGCCGCCGCACCGCCGCTATGTTATGCTTCGACCTCCGATTAAAACGTTCGATTTAAAAGTGTCGGAGCCGAAGTCGGAAACGAAGGTGTAATAATAATCGGAAGTTCCGACTTAACGGAACCGGAGTCGAAGCTCCGTAACATCCCTGATTTGAATTATAGTGTATGTAAATTGTCAAAATAATCAACTTTTAACCCCCATAACTTTTTATGGGGGTGAGACCGCCGCAAAATTTTTATGGAGTTTTACTCAGGTGACCATCCTCTTTCGATCCCCCTACCCTCTTTTGATCCCCCCTACCCCCACCCACATCTAACTCCCATAACTTTTTATGGAGGTGAGACCGCCATGAACTATTTATGGTACAATGGTGGGGGAGACCTCCTCTATCGATCCCACCCAACCCCACGCCCTTCGGGGGTGGGGGCCATCATCTAGACATTTACCAATTTCTTCTTTAAAAAAGTAAAATTCAAACTTTTTACAATCCGTTATATCCATATCTTCAATGAGAACAAAACTATTATGAAATATACCATAATAAGTACGTTTTGTCGTTGCTGTTGTCACCTCTCGTGATTTAGTGTTCAGAACATTGGTGCATAAAGCGAAAGGGCCCGAGTTCTATTCTCGGCTAGGGCGTGGCAACAGTAGCAGTTTTTTTCTCTTTAATCTAAGATAATTTGTAGTGCATAAATAAATTTTGCCATTAATATGAAAACATTTATGCTTAGAGTCAGTTAGGATATACGATTTGAATGCCTGAATTTTACCCTCTTTGGGAAAAGGATCTAGAAAGTATTGTGAAAGTTAAACAAGCGAAAGAGTGAAGGGCATTCGGAGAACAAATTAAGGCTGAAAACATAGCTGCCAAAATCAGCCGTGAAATATTGTTTGAGTAGCGAAGAAGCGAGCGAGTTTGCGGCGAGCGGTCGCAAGCTGTTGGAAAAGGATTGCGTGAATTCGTTTTCTTACTTGCTTGCTTCCCTTTTGTTGATAAAACTTAACAAGGTCTGAAAAAGGCGAGACATTAATTTAGATTACAGTTTATGAGTAAACCGTAAGCTCCGTTTTATGTGCGTTTTCCAACACCCGAAGGGAATCGCTCAAAAATGGCCCTAAAAACGCTCCTAAAACTCGAGCAAGGGCCGATTTGCATTTTAATTTTTACGTAGTTTGCGTTTCAGTGGGGAAATGCAATTTTAGTATGGCTACGATAATTTCACTACTTTTAAAGAAGATTCCAAGCGGATGTACTTTGGGTACCTACTTACCATCAAGCTTTAGTGAAAAGTATGAAGAAGTTTGAACGATCACGTTGCTTGATGGTCTTCTTAAAAGCAAAGTTATTTAATTGAGGCGATTTAAAGATAAAACGCTGCATACTAAAAGGCGGTTGGTTCACTTCATGGCATTAAGAAATAAAGGTGGTTGCAACATTATTCGTTACAATTTTCGAAGATAACTTATTAACTATACATATTCTGTTTATTATACATCACTATTAAGTGTCACCAGGGTGGTAAAACACAAATAACTTTTGCTGAAAGATAAATTTGATTGTGAAACCTTATGCCGATTCGAAACGATTAAATAAAGTTAGCAAAAGAAGTATTTTCTTCCTAATAAAACATAGACACTCGAAATTTTACAAAACGTTTAGAGACCTAAGAGGGTTTCGGTGCCCAAAGTGCCATCCTCAGTTAGAGACTCATTCTCTGAGACGCGTCCTAGGTCTCTAAACGCTTTGTAGAATTAGAACATTAGGTTAGAAGTGAAGAGGTATTGGAAGGAATAGAACAGAGAATTCTACGGAAGTCAATAAGAAATAGGCGAGATAGGCTGGTAGAACACCTTCTCAGGTATGAAGGGCTAGTCAGAGACATATTCCCGCGATAAAAATGTTCAGTCTCTCAGAGTCTCTGAAAGCGAGACTCGAGTCTCCGTCTCTCATCGAGTCTTTCTGGTGTCGCTGAGAGAGACTGTCAAAAAAAACTGTTTAGCGTCTCTGAACGAGAGAATCGAGTCGCTCATAGAGAAATCCTCATTTCGTATCCAGTCTCTGAACGAGAGACNACATAGACACTCGAAATTCCACAAAACGTTTAGAAACCTAAGACGCGTTTCGATCCCCAAGGTGTCATCCTTAGTTAGAGACTTATTCTCAGACACGTCCTGGTTGTCTAAAAGCTTTATAGATTTAGAAAATTAGGTTAGAAGTGAAGAGGTATTGGAGAGAATAGGAAAACAGAGAAGCCAATAAAAAATAGGCGAGATAGATTAGTAGGATACCTTCTCAGACATGGAAGGCTAGTTAGAGACATATTAGAAGCAGAAACAGAAGTTAAGAAGGTAGATTTAGATTAGATTACTATTCACAAATAGTTAATAATGTTGGATGTTCTAGGTTTAGGGATAAGAAAAGATTAGTTCAGGATAGCAAAGAGTGGAGGTGCGTGTCCAACCAGTCTTAGGACTGACAACTTTACGAAGATGATGATTTATTACGTTTTCTATAATCATAATTAGAATGAAATGAGTACCCTTTTCATGAGTCGTCGGATATAAATGATAATAAAATTGGAAACCAAGATAGAGCAATAACAGTTTTGAACAATAAATAGGATCCATCTTAGTACCTAAAGTAGTTGTCAGAACTTATAAATAGATTGGTGAAATAAAGCAGGTGTCTATTTCTTTTTATATTCTTGTGGAAGATTTAAAGTTAAGGGCAATTCATGGAATTCGGGTTTTAGTAGGATTGGAAGTTTTGTGAGAACTTTGAATTTCTAAAAATATATTGTTTAGGAGTGACCGCAAAAATCGCCCACGTCCTCGCCCTCAAACTTTGTTTCAAATGATTATTAATGATAGAGTATCCTAAACCAAAAATACAAGAATGTATAAGAAAATACAACTTATATTTCGTTTCCGAGGTTTGAGTAATTGATTTTATGGTATAGAGGATATCAAAAAATACTTACGATATATGCAGTATTTTTCGACGCAGAATCTAAATGTAAAATTGAAAAATCTCATTTTTCTCCAAAGAATCGAAAATATCCTCTATACTAGATTGGAAATAGAATGGTGTTAAAATTAACGCTTATACAAATTAATCGAAGCACTCCTGCATTCTGATAGCAGTTTTCCTAAATATGAAACGATAACAAAGGTGAGAAGGGGGTTTTTTTGTGGGAACTTCCAGAAAGAGCAGCATTTATTATAACGTTTTGTTTATCAATCCTTACACTGTTCACTTCAACGACTGCAGTCAAGAATTGTATTACAAAGAAAATAAAAGCAACCGTCTTTCAATTTGTTCATCTTTTTGACAGGCTTTATATTTTTAAGTGACATTGGAACGACTGTCTTTACAATTGAATTGAATTGAATTCTTTTAAATTTCAGTTTGAAGGTAGAAATGCCTTATAGTAGGTATGTATATATATATATATATTCTAAGAAACATGTGTTTTTGATCGCCAATTCAAAAATACAACAAAACGAAATCGAAAATATATTACCTACGTAAATATAAGAAGGTAATATACAAAGATTTCTATAACTCATAGGCGGGCTGAAAAGTTCGTAGACTGGCATAGAAAAAATTATTTTTTTTGATAGAATTTGATTTTATTATTCAATATAGTTCCCTTCGAACGCGATACAACGATTATAGCGGTCATACAATTTTTCGATACCATTTTTATAATACGATTTGTCTAATAGGCATCAGTTTCGGCGATTACCTCTTCATCGGCGCGAAATTTCGGTCCAGCGAGCACTCTCTTGAGGTCTGAGAATAGAAAAAAGTCGCTGGGGGCCAGATCTGGAGAGTACGGTGGATGCGGAAACAATTCGAAGCCGAATTTATTGAATTTTGCCGTCGATTT